TTGTAATAAATCAAGTTGTGGTTGTTTGAATTTTAAACTTTCTATATAATCTACAATACAAGAAAGACAAATACGTATCTATTTAAATGTCATAGCGAATAAATATTTATAATTTGAATTTAACTATAAAAAATATTTCAAGCTTATAAGTAGCATATAAGTTTTGGATATATATATATATATATATATATATATATATATATATATATATATATATATATATCCAAAACTTATATGCTACTTATAAGCTTGAAATATTTTTTATAGTTAAATTCAAATTATAAATATTTATTCGCTATGACATTTAAATAGATACGTATTTGTCTTTCTTGTATTGTAGATTATATAGAAAGTTTAAAATTCAAACAACCACAACTTGATTTATTAAAATAATAAGAGTCATTTAATCATAAAATAAAATTCGTTTGAAAGTTCTGCAATTGTTCTTTTAGCATAGACTTTATTTAAAAATAATTTTTCTTTTTCGTAAAAAAATTGTTGAAAATGAAAAAAAAGCCATTTTTTTGTCTATTTATCAGAAGACACGATAATGTCTTAGCGCTAAAACAAATGCAGTACATGTTCCTTCACGCATCTTTATTTTCTCAAAACGTACTATGCAAATTCTGACAATGGAATCGCGCTCGGAGTCGTGTTTAGCACGAAAAAAAATCTTCGAGTACATACTTTATAATACTTTGAAAAAATTGTTTTTTTACACGTCTTTATTTCAGTATAACATTTTAATATGTCTCGCGCGCGTGCATTTATTATTTATATGCGTTAGGTTTTATAGATTGATAGCCGAGAGAGAATTGTAACTTAATTCCGCTTTTTGCGGATATTTCTTAAATTATTCTTTTTATATATTTATTAAAGATAGAAATGATTAATTTTTTTTCTTTTCTTTCTCCTTTCTCTTTCTTTCTCTTTCTCTCTTTCTTTTTCATTTTCTCGGTTGGTTTTTGTTACGGAAGTGCTGTTTTCGCAATCGTACTCGTGAAGTGCAAGAAAAACGAATGACACACGTACGAGCGTGGTAAGAACCGTAGCTGCTAATATGTGTCTGGTTTCAGCGTCCATACTGCATGACCTCAGCGACATGCAGCCTCAAATAAACGCGATCAAAATAGAGCACCCACCATACTACTGCAGCAGTTACACCCCACCATCCGCAGCCACGACTGCGGATCACGTTCAGCCGGCAGCTAGCTTCAGTAAGTTTCAAAATTTGCCTTTGACTTTATTTTTAGTAGACAGAGTTGGGGTCGAGCGGTAGTCGCATAAATACATTTTCGTGTCCGAGGCTCACTAAACTAGTTCACGTCGTATAAGCAAAAAGAACTCATGGCAGGAGGGGGGAGGAGGATACGGAAATTGAGAAGGTTCTGATTGCGTATATCGCATATTGCGCACATGCATCGCTAATTGACTAATTTAAAATCAAGTATTCTTATTGGTAAAGCAGTGGAAAAATTACTAGACATCAACTGATGTGAGTGGCATGTGCAATCGCGCGCGAGCGCGCGCGGGAATATAGACAATCGGATTCCTCCCGCGGAAATTATTCGTTTGCATCTATATATTCTTTGTGTTAATTTTGTAATTGAAATAGTGGGAACCTTGTTTTTACTTGAGCTTTCTCATTTTTTTTAGTTGCAAACATTCATAAAAATCAAAAGCTATATGTCGCGATAATCCTATTATTATCACTATGATAATAATATATTTTAATTTAACGCTATTATTTTTTGTTCGGATTAATTTGTCTCCAGAGATTTGTTTCTATAATTCTTTTCATGTAGGTATACGTATTCCTAATATACACTCACATGCAAAAAAACAGGCTTCTTACATTTTAGCACTAATTTTTAATATTTTCAAATAGCTCAGTGAAAAATCATCTTAGCGAGATGTTTAAAAAACCTTTTTAAAGAAATCTATATTTTTCAGACTGGTACTTCTAAAAAACGATCTTGCCGATATTTTATGAAGTTACACAAACATAAATGAAGATGTGTCTAACCTTAAAATTTTTTATGAAATTTGAGAAGTTCCACGGCACGAATTAAAAATTATGCGAAGAAGTTATCATTCCGTACGTTGTACCAAGGAATTTATTGGAGATAACTTCCTATTGATGCAAGATAATGTGAGATCACACGTAGCACAAATAGTGACTAATTTTTTAAATGACGTTAACATACAGCGAATAATATGGCCTGCCATGAGCCCAGATATGAATCCCATAGAACATTTATGAGATATTTTGAAGCGAAAAGTGAGGAAACATAATTGTCAACGTTAGTAGCACTCCGAAACAGGAATAGCGTAATTTAAAATAAAAAGAAATAAGAAAATTAACAGTAAGCCTCAATGTATGAATTAATACATGAATTAAAACATCTCAAATTTTGTAAAAAATTTTGAGGTTTGACACATCTTCATTTATGTTTATGTAACTTCACGAAATATCAGTAATATCGTTTTTTGAAATACCGGTATAAAAAGTAAAGATTTCAAGCTTTAAAAAGCTTTTTTAAACATCTCGCGACGATGATTTTTCACTGAATTATTACTATTTGAAAATATTAAAAATTAGTGCTAAAATTTAAGTGGCATGTTTTTTTTTGCATGGAGTGTAAATGTCAATGTGTAGGCGACTTAAACGAAAGGAAAGAAAAAATAAAATTATCTATTCTATATAATTACAGTATTCAATAAAAAATCATTTTTTAAATTCAAGATCAGGGGTGATCGTTTTTTATAACTTTTTGAGCATTTATTATGCAAATTAGATAATAATTTTTTTTTGCGCGCGCGCACACACACAAACACAATGATATTTTGGGTGAATGTATACCGCCCGATTGCTATCAACTTTGGTAGATGTACTCCAAATGATATTAAATGAATATCTTTAAATGGATTTTCATCGACACGAAGATCTTGGGTAGATCTTGGAGATCAAAGTCAACATGAACGTCACTCGGAAGTGATTTATAATGAACTGTGTAAAGGTAATCCATTCAGGCGGCATATAACTTTAGTTAAACATTTTTGACACTAAACCTTGTCGATGAAAATCTATTTAAGGACATTCATTTGACGTCATTTGGAGTATTTCTGCCAAAATTCATTGCAGTTGGGCGTTGGACATTTTCATTGAAATTTATCCGATATTTTTATTATTATTTATATTATTTATATTATATAAACAATGATTTGTTAAATGCAATTTTATGTTATCCTATACATGCACATTTGTACTCTTTAAAATAAAATCCATTAGAGATTTGATAATAAGTGGAAAATTTAATATTTTTATTGTAAAGTATAATATTCAAGTCTTAATTCGAACCTTTATCGAAATCTCTAGGACATTGGAGTAACTAACAATAAATTTTTAAAAACAATAAAAAATATGTTTTTAAGATTTTTCTCTCTCTATTATATATATTAGGTGTTGGAATTATATATATAATACAGAATCTATTACATTAAAATTGTAATATATATAGGCAGTTAAAGATCTATCAAATATTTTTAAAAACAATTATAAATGAAATTTATACCGACATGAATAAATAAGATTTTATTTTTCGTTGAAACGGATTTTGCTTCTTAGATCTTGATAAGTCCAACAAATTAAATCGATGCACAAATTTATAAGATTGAAGAATGTATTTGCAAATTTGCATACCACCATTATCAAGCATCAAGATCTGTTTCAAACAAAAATTAAATTTTTTCTCTTATTTGAAGTATTTTTAAATCATGTTTTTATTATTTAAACTTAAGGATTTTTTTAAGAAATAGCTAAATTTTAATTTGCTGTCAAAATTGATAAATTCAGTTTAAATTATAAGAAAAAATCCTAAACATGCATAATTTCTAAAATTTAAATATTTTTTTATTCTGACATTCGACACATTGATTCTATCATTTTGAATTTATCACTTTAACATTAAATTATTCAACAACTTAAAAAATTCCATAAATTTGAATAATTAAAAAGTATTTGGTGGGACCAAAAGGGTGTTATTTACTATGAGCTGCTGAAACCTGGCGATTCCATTACGGGCGATCGGTATCAGTTACAATTGATTCGTTTGAGCCGTGCATTGTGAGAAAAACGGCCGGAATACGAGCAAAGACATGATAAAGTTATTTTTTTTCATGACAACGCTCGATGTCATATCATAAAAGTCATAAAAAAATATTTGGAAACGCTCAAATGGGATGTTTTACCGCACCCGCCGTATTCTCCGGACATTGCTCCTTCTGATTACTGGTTGTTTCGAAGGATGCAGCACGATTTGGCAAGTCACCGGTTCACTTCTTTCGCAGAAATCGAAAATTGGCTCCAAAATTGGATCGCCTCCAAAGACGAGTCATTTTTTCGAGATGGAATTCGAAAATTGCCTGAGAGATGGGAAAAAGTAGTAGCCAGCGATGGACAATACTTTAATTAATCTGTTCATTCATTTTGTTTTGAAATAAATGCATTTTTGAACACAAAAAAACGGACCGAACTAATTTGTATTCCCAACACAATATATATGAATATATATATATATATTCATTACGAGGGACTTCCGGTTGAGCAGGTGAGTGGAATACACGCGTGTTTTAGAGCGCGGAAGCTTTTCTTAATTTTTGAGAGGATACTGTAGAGAATCTCCCTTCGGGGTTTGTCTTATAGCAGACGCGAGTCTATAAAATCGAGAGCTGGGCAAAAAACAGCTCGGG